AATTGAAATGTTTTTTATTCAAACCTGAATTCGTGCAATTGACAGGAATTCAACATTTAGTTGTAGAAAAAAGATTTGGCTACTTATGTAGGGATTTTTGTATGTTTTTGTGTGTACATTCCTACCTTGTTTCTGTACTTTTTGGCATTTCCATCCCCTACATTCTTATTTTTTTCTTTTTTGTTTTCAATACTTGTAAAATACAAAATTACATTACCAAGGCTAGTCTTGGATGAATGCTGTATATCTATAGACGTTGAAAATGACTGAAATATGAATGATAATACTTTTCATGGTCACTTTTTGGAAAACTTATTTTCAACCTTAAAGCATGATAAGAAGTTATGACTAATATTATAATTTTTTTTTTCATTGAATACTTATTAATTTGAATTCATAAGTTATTCTACTTAATTTAAAAGAATGTCTTTCCCTTTCAATGAATATTTAGTAACAGTAGTAGCTGTAAAAAAAATGTCATTTAGTACAGTCTTAAGTTTTAACAGGTTAATGTTTAGTTGTCAACATTATTTAAAATATGATTCTTAAAGTTTTGAAACCACTGTTATTTATGCACCATGATCTCGGTGAAAATCTTATCTCAATTGGAACTACAACAATTACGATCTTTTGTTTTAGCAAACAAAGACTGTAACGTTGTTAAATTTTAGGTCATCCTGGATCCATCACCCATGGTACACCTCGAGAACAGTCTAGCAAACATTCCTCTCCACCTGTTACATCCTTCTCTGCACCTCTCAACCTTGTCAGAAGCAACAGCCAAAACAGTAATAAATGGGTTCCTCATTATCGAATGTCGCACCAACAAAATAAAAGTCAACAAGAAGGATTAGGATTTCATCACTCATTACTTTTACAGCAGGTATTAGATGTTATTCATTACTGTCATAGTCCTTTATGTGTAGTCAGAAAGTAATAACCAAACTCAGGAATCTTTGAGTCGGGGGTTACATTTTGTGAATCTTAATTTGATATGAGTAAGCTTAATTTATGTTGTAATAAAATGTCAAATAGTTGATTATTCTTTCAGGAGTTGGATAACTTAAAAAGCATTGGATAAGTATTATCTATTGTCTACATTCAGGCCTATATTACCCACTTACAAGATCTGAACAGAATTGATGACTAAGTTCATAAAGATGCATATTATCCAACATGAACTGTATATCTTGTATTGTAAAATTATTTGATGATTTTAAAGCATTTTTGTTTGTTCTGGTAGTTAGTTGAAATGTTAAAATTCTATCTGTGGTTGGTGTTTATATTTTAAAATTCTGAATATTATTTAAATAGTGCAGAGACTTGTGGTTTTTTCACTGACTATTATGAGATTATCCACAGTAAAGTGGGGGCTCGTTTTGCCCATTTTCTCTGTTTTTTAATGTTAACATGGTTGCATAATATGTTGCTGGTGGTAAGGCAGTGTTAATTTTTTTTTTTTATAGTTTATGATTAATTATTAGTTTCTCATTGTCAAGAAAATCTTTGAAACGATTTATAACTTGGAGAGTAGATCAACTTGTTATGTGACTTTCTATGATAAATACTAAACATTATTGTCCTCTTTTGATACTTGTTTTCTTCATTAGGACCTAAAGCAGCATCTGGCAGTAACAGGAAGAAAGGTGGTAGCGAGTGAAATGGAGCTTATCAACAGAGAGAAAAATGATATAATCAAACATTCCATTCCTCAGAGAAGACAAGGTTCAAATTCTCCAATTGTGGACAGACTTCATATACAACACTCGCCTTTACCTAACTCTAGTCTTTTGATACATTCAGACAGGTCAACTGTCAAACCATCTCTGTATTCCACAAGATTTGACTCACCAGATAGATTAACCCTTCTTAATCAGGAAAGAAAAAGTGTTATATCTGCTGACACAAGAGGTCGCTCACCATCTGAACTTACTAAAACGGAACTAGTGTCTCCCAGAGTGGTGGCTCATCAGATACCTAATTTCCATAACAGCATAAATATACCAGAGGCAACACCAGGACAGATCTCTACAACTCTGACCTTAGAGGATAAACATCACTCTGTATTAAAAGTTGAAGCTACCTGCAGAGAATCGACACAAGAAGCTGCTCATTTTCCTGAAAAAACAATTACAGACTGTACCAGTGGATTGCCTAAGCTTATCAGTAAGCTTGATTTGGAGTGGGAGAAGCTTCAGAAGGCTAGATTGGCAGGAAAGTGTGGATTCAGTGATGATGAACTTGACACAGAAGATGAAGATGAGGAAAATCACTTGAGAGAGATTCTGATTATTACCAAAGGGCCTCCTCTAAATCTTGATCTCAGTCCAAAGGTATACCTGTTTCAATTTAGGCTTATCTTATTTATTTTATCACCATCTTTCCTCAGATAGATACAATATCTATTTCATGGATTTTTTTTTATAAAGCTTGATTCATCATTTTATGCCTCATATGAATTATGGTATTGCAGTATGATAGCTAATTTTTGTAGAACAAGATCAGATTGAGAATTAGTCTTAAATAGATAATTTTGCACTTGCTCTATGAAGTTTCATTACATTGACAAGGCCACTGTTTGTTACTCTATATCTATATAGGGTCTTATCAGCCTATGTAACTGCATGAATGGACAAACAAAATCACTGAAAGAAAATATATATATATATATATATATAGTGAAATATATATGTGAAGGATGGCAATTCCTACTAAAAGAAAAAGCTGAAGAAGAACCATGTATTTCCTCTAATAGTTTATTTGATTTTATTTTTTATTTGAGGAAGGCTTGGTACTGAAAGTTAAAAAAAAAGTTTGTTTTTGTCTTTTTGTATTTGAATAAAAAATGTGTGAAGTAAACACAATTAAATTTAATTTTCCATGTGTTTTTTGCAAGGGCAGAGGTTGGGAGTTTAATTAATGTAAATGTTAGGGTGGTTTCATTGCTGCTTTAAGCAATTTAAGGGTAACTGCCTTCCCACAACTGGCTGTGGGAAGTGAAAGGCAGTAGAAGCTGAGATGTTGTGCGTGTAAGCACTCTGCTTTGTACCCTTATTTCATTTTCCATAACAGCTGACTAGTTTAACATCAGTGTTTAAATTTTGTCTGATAGAAGGGATATCCCCAATGCATTTGGGTGCTATTACTACAGACATTATCTGCTATGACAGTAAGTTAACAACCTGGACCAATAATGGTAACTCGATATATATGGAGATATATAGTGAGTCAAAAGTCTTGATGTATGCTATTGTTCTGAAGTAGGTGTGAAATATTTAAAAGCTATTGACATAGGGTAGTCTGGGATATTGGGAGTTATTTCTTATTGTAAACTTCAAATCAAGGTTAATATACATGTTTATGTGTTTTAAATTCAATTTACATTCATACCTTGGTATTGCATGAGAACTGGTTTTGATTTCTGAGGGCTTGTATAGATAACTTTTTTTTTGTTTTGTTTACGTTGAAGACAACAGAAAGATTTTATCATACTGAGTTTTGTAAGGTTTGGTAGTTTTAAGTATATATATATATATATATATTATAACTTTGCAACTGAAAATTTAATGTCTACAATTACTATTGATATACTTTTGTTTGTCTGTTAAAGAATAGTTTCTCAGTACAGAAAGTAGAAATCACTTATACAGAAATACAGTGGTAAAACTTGTGTGACAGAAGCTGATTTTTAATATAGCTGTTATCAGTTTTTCTTGTATATTTGGACATAATTCTCAATTCAAATATGATATTCTTTTATTGTTTGATATAAGTTATTTTTATTCAAATGTATACATTTGTTTTTGAAATTGTTACTGATGATTTTGTACAAACAAATTAGACCAGGTTTGTATTTGATACTCTGCTTCCATTTTCACTGGCATTTGTTAGAGCAGAGCAATTAATCAATATAAACAATTAGTATCACTTAAAGTAATTGCTTAATCAAAATTACATTTAAATGGATTGATAATCAATTATTAACATGAAACTTGTTCAGTTGGTATAATTGAAAACACTAATTGATTAAGCTGAACGACATTGGATCAGTTGATTATTTTCGTATCAATTTCCAGCTCTAGTGTTTATACATAATATAGAGTGGAAATATGAGTTTCTTTTGTAGTTTTATATATTTTTCAAATCTATGCTTTGTTTTTGAAATTCTTACTCTTAAATGATTTTGCACAACCAAATAAGACCTTATTTCTGTTTATCTGTATTTGGTATTCTGCTTCTTCTATTTTTATTTTATCTGCTGATAAATGTGTGTTGACAAATTTAAATGATTAATAATGCTAATTCACATTTACTGGTCTGATTCCAATAGTAAAAATATTCTGTAATATAGATATTCTAGATTATTTAATGTTACTAAAAATGGATGTTATTAATTAGTAATATGTCAGTAATTTAGTGTATAAAATTATAACTTAATTGACAAAGTGTAATTTCAAATTTTTCAGAAACTGGAATTTCTTAGAATATTTGGGCTTATATCTCATCAAAAGAGACAAGGCAAGTATTTACGGAGAGTTAATGTTAGCTTGCACCTCAAAAAAATTAGTTAAGGTTTTGTACTTATTACATTATAATAAACTAATTCATTGGTAGGTATGTTAAGTTTAATGTTGTGCTTATAAAAAATCCATACAGCTCATTTGTGTAAAAAAAAATAATTAATAATTTCAGTTAACAATGAAAAATGGATTTGTACTAATAATCCCAAAACTTTATTGTTTTAAACTTAAAACAATATTTCAACCTAATCCTTGTTGAGTGAATTTAATTAGATTTATCATTATATGCTAAGAGTATTTTCTATTGCCACAATTACTCAAGAAATGTTTGAATCATTATAAAGGTAATAACTTGATGTAAAAATTTCTTGGACCCTCTCTGTAGAGTTAGAGTTTGAAAAAGTATGTCCGTGGAAGGAAAGTTCTAGAAGAACAACAGCTTTTTCCTCATGATGCTAACAACATCAATAAGGATTGTTCAACTCTGTTACCAATGGCAACAAAAATTAGTTCTGAGGAACTCTGTCTTGCTGCTGATTTTCCACACAGAGTTCAGTTCTTACAGTTTCTTGAGTTGCAACCAACCACCTTTCAAGAAAAGATAGGTAAGGAGGAATTATAATGAAGATACTTGAATAATTGGTATTTGATATTAGGTAAAGCCTGAACTAAGAACAGGTCACACAGCTGTTACTTTGGAAGGACAAATTTTTAAATATTAATAAATGAAAATTGTATGGGATATAGTTGCAAAGTGAAAACTAAAACTTAACTTAAGAACTGTTAAGTGATTAAAAAAATATAGAACTAATTGAAGCTAATGCTTTCTTGCAATTGATAAGAAACTGTGTCAACTATTCTTCAGTAAACTTAATCTTTCTTAAAATATCTGAAACGTATATTTTACAGAGGTTGAACAAAAGTGGAAAGTTACTGAAGAAGGCAGAGTCTGTAGAAAGCGAAAAGTAAAGCCTAAACACACAAAGAAGACCAAAATCACTGACATAAAACCTCATAGTTCAGGTAGTATGAGTCAGGGTTATCGTTTTAAAGCTAATTTGTTTTACTTACTAAACGTTATGCAATATATTACATTAACTGGATAATAGAAGACAGATTTGTGTAAATCAAATTTAGAATATATTCACCTTGTTATGAAGATTTTTAAAACTAGGTTTTGAGGGTTCTCAAGTAGATGTATGAATGATAATGAAGGACAGATTGTTTTGGATTTCAGCCAACTTTCATTGTCAATAAAGCACTAATCTTTAAGATATTTAGAGAAATCCCAGAATAACTGCCATATATATCATTGAAATAATACTTAAGAAAAGTTCAACTTATGACACAGTAATAATCTTTATCAAAGAATCTACTTATAATAAGATTGATTTAAAACCCAACTAACTGATCTGATAATCCGATTATCTTTTGTTGTGATAGCTTTAACTCTTCATTAAAAGCATTTAGAGATAGTCAAAAGTTCTGATGTAATGAGTCTTCTATATGATGTTGTTTATTTATGTTACATTCATTAAAATTATTCAAGTTATTCAGTTTAGTGGAATGCAGAATTGGTTAAATATACACTTCTAGTGTAATCCTATCCACATTTGTAGCATATTTACATGATTGTAAGGAGTTGAGAGTTGGAAGTTTTGCATTTATGATTTGTGAATTAACAAGCAGGGTACACATGAGGTGGGAATGTAGTAACAGTCTAAATGATTCTTTCCAGTGCAAAATGATCACAGCAAACATAAAATTGTATTCACTGTTTTGCTACTGCCCATGTGGATTATATCAACCTTGTGACCCTAAAAACATTCGGGTTTCTGTTCTATAACTACTAACAACTTTTAACATGTTTTATGTATTTTCACAAAATTTTTCAAGCTTTAAGTAAACATTACAAGACATTTGTAAACAAAAAAAAAAAAACAACAACAGAATTTTTAAATTAGTATTTGTACTAAAAATTTGTCTGTGAATATATGGAGTGCAAAGTGATTTTCATGTTAAGGTCAGAAATACTTTTCTTCATCTGAAATTTCTAAAATAAAACCATATATACTTATCAAACCTTTTTTTCCTGAAATCTGTATCTTGTGTGTTATTTTCGCTACCCTAACTATACAGTGTCAGTCAATTTGATCAACCTCAAAACCACAATAAAACTTTATAAAGATTGATTAATGTAGAATAAAATTAGTAGTACTTTCTATCCTTTTTTCTATTGACCGCAAAGTTCCAAGGCACTTCTCTTGAAAGTTACTACTTCTAACCTTTTCAATTTGTGTATATTTTACTGTTAGCGACTGAAGTAGAAACCTGTTGAACTGCCATTAGACTGTTTACGTGACACCATAATATGATATCGTCAATAGCAAATAAGCTCATGTAGTGCAATTACCAGAACTTTCCCACAGAGTTTATTGTAATCCGGATCCAAGAACACAGTGGAAGACAGCTCCATTCCTAGATATTTTACTTATATAAGAACTGTAAATTATATTATTATATTAATTTTCCGATATGGTACTTCCCTCCACTCAAAAGCTTAGCTACATTTATTGCTGCCCTCTGTAACTTTCTTGTTACACATGCCACAAGCCTTCCACCCACCCACTTCCTATTGGAATCAAATTATTCCAACATGTGTCATGCAAATAATCATACATCACTTATCCACCAATAGGAACATAGTACACACACATGCCCCCTCTTCCTCTTGAACCTGTGGAACTTGGTCAGGTTGATGAGGACTTTGATCACCTGTTTCCACCTCCTGATTTTGCTGTGCCTTCCCATACCTTCCCTGAGGATTCTGTTCATCCGTACAAGGTTTTTTTGTTCACCTCCCACATTTCACCTTGGAATCCTACCTCAATCTTCAGTGAACTTTTTCTCCAGGTCTTTGTATGACCAAGATGGGTATCTCCAATACTTATCTGCATATATCTCCTAACTGTTCGTTGGGCTTTGGATCACTTTCTTCCCATTGCCAATCACTGTCTGGTAATGATCCATTTTGACAATTCCACGGTAGTGGCTTATATCAATCACCAAGGTGGCCCCCAGTTGAGATCCCTCTGTTTTCGCACATTGGATCTTCTCAATTGGGCTCACGTGCAACACATTTGTTTAATTGTATGTCATGTCCTGGGTGCTTTCAACCTCTTTCCCACCCCCAACAAAGTTTACCCAATGGAGTGGTCCCTTCATCGTCTAGTTTTTATGGTGGTTTTGCGGTCTGTGAGGTGTTCCTCACATTGATGCATACTTTACTACCATATCTATCTTTTCCTTTATCCAGGTCGTGCCTTCCTCCTCAAATCCTCGGCTGCTCATCAGGTAACTCTTCCTTTTTGCCTATTTCCTTACCGTCTATTTCTCATCTCTACCCCATCCCAATTCCAATAGACTTCTGTCTCCTGTGAATACCCTTTGTTGTTATATTGCTCACATGGAACCCTGGTTACCGTTCCTGTATCTTTATCCCTTGCCAACCCTCTTTGTCCAGGGATTTCTCCCCTTTTACACTCACCAGTTGGGTTCGTCATTTGATCCAAGAAAATGTATTTCGAATAGGAACTTCCCTCTTCCCACACTTCCTTCCCACTCACTTTCAGTGCTTCAATCATGTTTCAAACTTTGAAGTGATAGTTCAGTAGAGAGAGTTGCATGCATCACGTGAGTGTACTCTGTTCCTGTTGGTGGATAGGTTACACATATGATTTGCATGAGAGACACGTTGGAATAAATTGATTCCAACCACTATAGACATTATATGATAGGTGTAATAAAATATATATTGAGCAAGAAGGTATGCCATATGATACACAAAAAAAGCATATTTAGGATTTTTTTTAAATATTACCTTTTGCATTAAAAAATTAAACATATATTAAAATTTAAATTTTGAAAAGAAAACAATTTTTATCATTGTATATCAATAAAATTATATCAAAATGTAGTTTAGAATTCAATTACTCTTAAAATGTTGTGACATGCAACCTTTGACCTGTCTGTAGCAATAGAGTTAATGTTGTTGTTTTTATATTCTCAAATTTTGGTGCTGCTATGTTTACAGAACTGAAACACTGTATACAAATTATTTTATGAAGGAAAACTAGATTTTGTGCCATATGATATCTTTATATCTTTCAAATTATTCTAAAAAGATATATTGTTCAGGTGAAACTGTAACTTTTTTTATACTCTTTTAGTGTTGTACATTTACAGTTATTTATGCTATACTACTAACAAATTAAAACATACACAGATATGCCTGGAAATATGACCTTAAGATCACCAAATAAATAGTTCCATTGCATAAGCTGTCTAGAACACTTTGTGGTACACTATGTTAAAACTGTGCTATATATATATAAACGTACAGGTAGAGTATTTGGAACACTTTGTTGTTGTTGCATTATGTTAAAACTGTGCTGTATATGTAAAAATAAAGTATCTGGAACACTTTGTTGTTGTTGCATTATGTTAAAACTGTGCTATAAATAAAAACCAGATAATTATTACTAATATTTTAAAAAATTGTTTTTTTTTACTAAGATTGGATAGTATTAATTTTATCATTAATATGTTGTGTATTTTTTGCTTTTTAATTTATTTTTGCACAATGTATTTGTGCTTTATTATCATTATTGGGCTCAAATTATATTCAGTAGAGAGGTTACCACTCCAAATGAAGAAACAAAGATTAGAGTCTAGTCCGAGCCGTCCTAATGGAGCATTATCTGTTGAAGATTATAACTCTCCTGTT